ATAGACTAGACTATAGACTAGACTATAGACTAGACTATAGACTAGACTATAGACTAGACTATAGACTAGACTATAGACTAGACTATAGACTAGACTATAGACTAGACTATAGATTAGACTATAGACTAAACTAGAGACTAGACTATAGACTAAACTAGAGAATAGACTATAGACTTTGTACTAAAATAAAATAATCCCTCAAATAGACCATTAATACATCCAATAGAAAAATATTGGTCAATTATGCGGGGATGTTCAAAGAAAATAAGAATAACAGTGTCAGTTTCGGAAGAGCTTTAGTTCTAAGCGGTGTTTGGCAACCACAAAACTATCGTGCAAAATCATTTTTTCCCGATTTAGCTATATCCTACAAAACGACATGAAATATAAGAAATCTTTGTATTGCAATATGTACATATTTTTATTGCAATAAAAAGATAGAATATTCAAATCCCAAATTTTATTTTAATTGGGCAATTAGTTTTGTTTAGGGTACTTGTGATTGTCGACCTTATCAGATTTTTTTTTTTCGTTTCTTCCTCTGCCTCTTTCTGTTGTCATTTTATTTTGTATATGTATGTATGTATACTGGTGCAACATTTTTTATATTTCTACATTCTTATCAGTTTTAATTTAAAAATATTTTATTTTTTGCATAATTTTGTTTATTGAATTTGTAAATTTTGTTTTAAAAGTTTTTTTTTTAGTTTTTTTCTCTATTTTGTTTTGCTAATTTTATTTGTTTTTATTTTGATTTTTTATTAGTTTTTTTATGAAAGCAACACTTTAAAAGTAAAGAAAAAAATGCAACGTCAACACAATATGTATGAATTTAAAACTTAAACAAATGCATGCAAAACATTTTGCCAACGTCAATTTTTTATTTATATATTAATTTTATATATTAAAAACTTTACTTGTTTTTGCAGTATATTGATTGGTATAAATTCAGTACGGAGCTTAGACTGCTCCTATGAATACTAACCCAGCAAAAACATGGTAATTAATTGTACTTAGCCAATAATTAATTTTTCAATCGAAGGAGTCCAATAATAACTTTATTTGTACTTTTTAGCCTTGAAACTTTGTTTTTGAATTAAATTTTTTACGGATAGATATATATATTTTTTAGGAAAACCATTAGTGAAATAAGTAGTACCCGACAAGGATACGCCCACTGCATTCTTGTCGGCTACTACTTATTGACTCCTTATTAGCAAGCAAGTAGTAAGTACTTACCTAACTCCCTTTTTATAAGTGAACGTGTGGTAAGTACTTGACCGTAATGTCATCACCGTGTTGAAATATTGACTTAAAATGCTATTGTGTAATTTTATCATTTTAACCCCTTACTTTATATAGAAAGTTTTTGCTGGAATCATATATGTACATACATATGGGTGTATGTAAATAGTTTACGAGGGTAAGTAGTAAAGTGATGTTGCCATTACTTACAAAACCCGTTCTATAAAAACGCATTAATGATTCCAAAGTGTATACATTACGATGGCTCCGTTTGTATGGAGAAACAATAAGATACTGATGGTTCCACCGAAAAAAGCTTGATTCATTCAAGATACTAGTTCTCAAAATTTTTATCCTGAGGTCAATATTTGACGAGGGGGGTCAATGGATAAAAAGGTCCTTACATCAGGTTTTTTCAAATTTTGTTCATGTTTCACACAAAGGAATGATATCATGTTAAACTTCTGAAAATTATATAAGTCTGAAACTTAATAATTGTTCAGATTTCCCTCGTTTTTCTAAGTATGTACGTAAGTATATAATACCATGTCGTATGTCTACGACAGGCGTCATGACCGGTTACCGGTTGATTGTTGTTGTCTTTGGCAATTTTTTGTTTGTTGTTTATTGAAAAATATATATATAAAATAAAAATTAAGAAATATAAATTTTAGATAAACAGCAATAACCTAAAACAAACGCCAACTGTTATTTGTACACGTGAATTAAAATTGCAAAACAACCAATAATAACCCAATATGTTGGATTGCTGAAATTGTACAGTGAATTTCATTAATTTCTTTCCATTTGTTAATTAAACAAAAATAAAAAATTTTCTAATTTATGTTTATAGATTGCGAAAATTCCAAAAAAAAAAAAAATAATTTTACGTAATTTTATTTTAATGACAGAGATTTAAATTTTACCTAGTCTAGACTTGAAGATAAAATTTATTGAAATATATTTTGATCATCAATACATATCTTTTAAAAAGACAGTAAAAGAAATTTAATGTTTATATTCAATTTTAATTAGTAATTTTTTTCGAATCATCTCAATATAGTATCTAACTTAAAACTCCAATAATAATATTATAAATAAATATATTTAGATTTATAAAAATATAATTAAAATTCGCTACATTTAATAAATATTTTAGGTTAGGTTGATAGGAGGATGTATACTACATCAAATCCGAAGAAATACACCTAGGCCACTATCGGGCCTGTTGTGCGCTCCAATTCAAGAAAGAAAAAAAAATTGTTCACTGAATATATTATTTTTCCATGTTCAGAAACTCAGTTTCCTGGACGTAATTCCTAAGAATCTTCCAATCGGTGTTGGTTAAGAATGTTATTTCCGGAATAACATCACTTCCAAGATACTTGGATCTAACTTCGACGAATGCCTGACAATGGCAAAGAAAGTGCTCCAGAGTTTCACTGTCCTCTCCACATGCTCTACATTCGTCTGAATCCGCACGTCCAATTTTGTATAGATGTGCTCGTAATCCTGTTTGTCCACTCAGAAGAGAAGAAGAGAAGATTTCTCGTTTTGCTCTCATCAGGGTCACCCCATAGAATCTTTGTGGTTCTACCCACCTTTTCATTATTCCAAGAGGCCTTATGGGATTCTCTCATCCATATTTTTAATTCAGCTTTTGTTGCGTCGAATGGTTTTGCGTTTGTCAGATTAACTACATCGAGCTCCCTTCCCTTTAAAGCTATTACATTCGCCCTTTCGTTGCCGACTACTCTCGAGTGGCCTGGTACCCATATGATGTGAACCTTACCTCTGGGAGAGTATTCAGTTAAAGCTTTCTTAGAATCCAATACGGTCTTAGATTTAATTCTATCACCTGATATCGCACAAATTGCCTTCTGGCTGTCGGTAAATATATTAAGCCCTGTGGGCGCCATACTTATTCTAATCCAATTTACACATTCCGTTATTGCTCGTACTTCTGCCTGGAAGCTTGTGTTATGATTAGGTAAACGGTGGTATATTTCTGTTTCTGGGTCTTCAATATAGATACAGGCCCACTTTGTCCCCTAATTTAGAGCCATCCGTGTAGCAACGGATTCCTACTGGTATTTGCTCTAATGTTCCGCTTGACCAAGACATTCTATCTAGGATTAGCGTTTCAAAGTTTCCGACATATTCAGTGTCTGGTATGCGATCAGGCACGTCCGATGAATGTGTATAACCTTCCAATGTGTCCAGTATACATTGATGACGTGTCCTATAACCGTTTTTGGCCAGTTCGCCTAAAGTAAAGAGCCGTTCGGCTGTAAGCGCCGCCTCATATCTTATATATGTTTCAATGGTTGGAATATCTAGCAACGTTTCCAGAGCCTTGGTTGAAGTAGTACACCAATAAATATTTTAAGATGCTTAAAATTTTCCATTTTCCAGAAATAAACCAATATTAGCTCTTATTCTCTCTTATACATGAACAGTAAGTAGTTTATCCCAAAACAAACTTTAATAAAGTAAACAAAAATATTAAAAATGTACCCAACAAAAACATGGTAATGACTTGTACTTGCTTAGCTACTTATCATTCGTAATAAGTACTTATATAACTCCCTATTTGTAAGTCAGCGTGGTAAGTACTAAGTCATCAACGTGTTAAAATAATGACTTAAAATTTACTTTACAATGTAAGTTTTTGTTTTGTTATTTACAAAGAAAGTACGAAAGCAGACACATTTCAGTTAAACTGATATACTTATTTAAACCAAAACCCAATGAAATAATAAAGTATTATATATCAAAGAAAAGCTACCCTAATGTACATACGCACATACTTGTACTCATAACTAAATACATGTATGTACTTGGTTGGTTGTACAATAAGTCCAATGATTATTATAGACAAATGTGCAAATAATCACATTGAAACGTGCAACCAAAAACAACAACAAAAATCTTTGTTTTTTAACAATATTTAGAAAAAATATGTATATAAATGTTTATAAATAATTAACCTGAATGTGTTGTTGGTTTTTTTTTTTGTTTAATTTAAGGTCATTTAAAATAAATAATTTTCTAATGATTAATTATTGCCAAAAAAAAAAAATAGTTGAAAATTTAAACAGGAAGTAATTTTATATTAAGGTTATATCTTTGATTTCACCATAACGAGAGGTGAATTTCTATAAGTGGTAGAATTGTTAGTACAAATTTGATTTTGGAATCGAGTAATGGTTCCAAAAATTTATTAACCCAGAGACCAAAGTATATTTTTCTAAAGGTATAAGCTACGAGGAATCCGAATCAGATCTCTTGCACCATTATAACGTCTCAAATATGATCAAAAACCTTTTTTTATTTTAATTTTCATGACACGATATTTCAAAAACCTGATGTGATTGATTCCAATAATGCTTTACTTTTTCAGCTTTCTTTACCAGACCTAACATGCAAATATAATTTATTTACATTTACATTTTATACATTTTGAAAGCTTAAATAATAAGCAAATAATGGACCGATCCGGAAAAAGTGTCGCAGAATGATTAGCATATTTACAAAACATATTCGTGTAGAATTTTTTTTCTCATATTTACCCCCATTTTCATCACCTTTAGTTATCGTTTAACCGGTAGTTATTCTTCCAGTTAAGATAATTTTTGTATGAGAACTGTCAGTATATCTTAAAGTTAAAAAATAACTAGACATGGTGAAAATGGGGGTCAGTATAATAGGAATCGGAAATATTTTGTACCTTATTTAAGAAAACCCGTACTTACCAATTTATTCACATGACTTAAGATTGTTTTAGACATGGATTACTGACATTTTGTATACCTAAGAAAATAATTATAATGACGTTAGTATTATTTAATAATTATTGAATTATTATGCAAATAAGTAATAGAAATCACAAATTTTATATTTAACATTTGACCCAAACAATTAATGAAGGATGTGATTAAAATAAAACTACAATCGGCGGTGCCAAATCTTAAATACCCTTCAGCACAGTGTTAGGGCTTGTTCCTCTAAATGCGAACGAAGAATTTTTTTCTAATTTTATAAAATTCGAAAAGTTATTACTGTTTTCAATATAAAATAAGAAAGAAATGCCAGTTGGAGAACGAAAAAGTTTCAGAAGGTAAATTTTTATAGATTTTCTATATGGATACTATATATCGAAAAAAAGGACCAATACATATTTAATATCATAAAATATTAAAAAAAAACCGATGATAGATTTTCATTCCATCAGGATAATATATGCCCGATTACATGTTTCTAGGTTCAATATTGCAGTAAACCCAAAAAGTTCCACTAGAAGAGCGAAAAAGTACCAAAAATCCTTACCTACAGATTTTCATTTACTTTGGACTCTGAATGTTTAATTTTACGTTTCTAGGTTCAATATTATAGAAAATTCAAAAAGTATCTTTTGAAGAACGAAAAAGTACCAAAAAGTCTCCTCATTTACTCCGGGCTCTACATGTTTAATTTCATATTTTAGGTATTATAGAAAACTAAAAAACTACCAGTTAAAAAACGAAAAAGTACCAATAATAGTCCTTGGTTCCAGTAATAAAATTAGTAGCATATGAAGCTGCATGTTGTTGTTGTTATTTCTTTTTGTCAAAGCATGCACAAAAATGGTAATTTTTTTATTAAATTTTCAAAGTTTGCCTCGGATTTTTACTCATATCACCATTATTTATGGACCGAATCGCTTTTTTTTAATTGCGATCTTCTAAAATGTGGCATGTGTGACAGAATTATTGCAGATTTGGGTCCTGAAGATATCTGGGGTCTTCAAAAATTCATTTCAACAAACATACAGACAGACGGACATAGCTTAATCGACTCCGTTATCTTTAAGGACTTGAAATGTACATACATACATACATACTTTATAGGATCGGATAGTTTTATTATATAAATTACAAACGGATTGACAAGTTTACGTACATACATACATATATAAAAATCTATGAAAATTTAAATTAATTTTTAGCCGAAAATTAACTAGAATTTAAAACAAACAATGACACATGAAAGACTTAAATTTATTAACAAAATGTATTTGAAATAAATCATTAAAATCGTTCATAATACAAATTAATAACAAAAAAATTCCATTGTATTTAAACATTTTCGTTTCAATATTCACAGTCTCAACTTTTTCTAATTTTAAGATTATTGTTTTATTTTTAATCTTAAATAATATACTCAATCATAAATAATCATAACAAACAGGGTATTGAAATATTGTATTTGGATTATCTTTACGACGCTTATGAGAACTCGCTGCATTTGCCGAATTCTGTCAAACATCGGAATGAAACATGAGAACGTGAATAAAAAACTCTTTGTCTGAGGAGTTTCCAAAACCTTTTAAGGTTAATCGGTCATAATTCTAAACGTATTTTTAGTAAATAGCTATGTAGGTAAAATTTTCAAGGAATTTTAGGCGTATTTTTCGATTAAAAGTTTTATAAAATGTTCGAAATGAATGTTTAAATTTGAAATATGAGTATCTATTTCTACGAAAAACGTTAAAACCGATGCGTCAATTATTGAAAGTTATCTAGTAATTACTTCCAAAGAATCAATTATGTAACTAGTTCAAATTCAGTTTATTTAAATGTTTGATTTTGATATTAATGTGAAATAACAAATCTTGCAGAAAACCCCTTTTACTATAGAACAGGTTGTTTTAACTACAATGACTATACTTTGTTCTTAATATACTTACATATATATTTTTTATTTTTGCATTGCAATTTATCTCATGCATAAACAGCAACAATATGCATATATAATATAGACGATAATTTTTTTACAAAAATTATCAGACAAAGAAGACACTGTTGACAACGACAATTTGATTTCTTTATGCCAGTTTGGTTTGTTGCCATGTGAAAATAATTAAAAATACAAAAAAAAACCCGAACAATTTCATGACAAAAATAGTGTCTGAGGTGCATTTAAAAACAATAATTTGAATAAAATACAATTTTAAAAATATATAAACAAGAGAAAACATTATTTAATTATACTACAATAATGACAAGCGTAAAAAAAACAATAAACAGAAGACGAATAAAGACATAAATTAGACTTTTTTGCAAAATAATTTACACAATTTTAAAAATAAATTATTTTATAAAATAAATTTTCAAGTTAATAATATAATTTTTTTGGCATTTATTAAATGTGTTTACGAAAACGCATAATATTATGGCACAGCAAATGGGTTTTTGCAAAATGGAATTACATATGTATGTATTTATAATACATACATTTATATATGTATATACACATGTATATAGTATATACATATGTATGTAAATATATGTATTTTACTTAGTACATATTTTATTTTTGTTAAAAATAATAACTAAATTTTATTTTTAATTTATATAGAGGATCAAAAAGTCATTTTTTTTAAATTTTTGAAATATTTCCATTGTTTACCAGCAAAACAAACTTCGAATAAATTTATATTGCATAATTTTCTTGAGCTAAAATACCGCAATCGTTGTCGAATGGGCTTTCGTAAAGTAAACAAATTCCGTTATTATATTAGATTTACGGCTCTATATCGAATTCCCCTGCATCATAAAGTTTGAAAATTTTGGTAATCAGTAATGTAGTTATTTCATACATTACTTACGTCTGTTTAACTAACAGTTGGAAGTGAGTTAAACCCAAATAGCAGGTTAAAATATCATTGTGTAAGCGGATAGACTAAACATCCACAGAAACACCTGTTATTTTTAACCTTGTCGAACAAAAATAAGTAATTATCCATCCAAAAAGTAAGTAATTTCAACTAGACTATAGACTAGACTATAGACTAGACTATAGACTAGACTATAGACTAGACTATAGACTAGACTATAGACTAGACTATAGACTAGACTATAGACTAGACTATAGACTAGACTATAGACTAGACTATAGACTAGACTATAGACTAGACTATAGACTAGACTATAGACTAGACTATAGACTAGACTATAGACTAGACTATAGACTAGACTATAGACTAGACTATAGACTAGACTATAGACTAGACTATAGACTAGACTATAGACTAGACTATAGACTAGACTATAGACTAGACTATAGACTAGACTATAGACTAGACTATAGACTAGACTATAGACTAGACTATAGACTAGACTATAGACTAGACTATAGACTAGACTATAGACTAGACTATAGACTAGACTATAGACTAGACTATAGACTAGACTATAGACTAGACTATAGACTAGACTATAGACTCGACTATAGACTAGACTATAGACTAGACTATAGACTAGACTATAGACTAGACTATAGACTAGACTATAGACTAGACTATAGACTAGACTATAGACTGGAATATAGATTATACTATAGACTAGATTTTAGAATAGAATAGAATAGACTATAGACAAGGCTAAAGACTAGACTACAGACTAGACTATATATTAGACTATAGACAAGACTATAGACAAGACTATAGACTAGACTATAGACTAGACTATAGACTAGAGTATAGACTAGGCTACAGACTACACTATAGACTATAGACTAATCTATAGACTAGTCTATAGTCTAGTCTTTAATAAAATAAATGCTAAATTTTACTTTATATTGGCGGACTGACGTTTAAGTAAATAAAACTACAATTTAAAGTTATTTGTTTAACAATTTTTCATTTACTGTTTGCTTCTGACTCTCCAGTATAACGATGATGATTGTTAAGTCAAATTCATATCTATTTATTTAATTTGTTGTTGAATTTAAATTGAATAATATTGTTTGTTTTTTTATTTTATTTATAATTTTATTAATAATAATAATATGCATTTAGTGTTTCTTTAGAGGCTTTAGCAGAAAAAGTAAGTGAATAATGAATGACTGAATGAATAAAGTTTTTAGATTGATTTGATGATATTGAGATAATTGAGAAAATTATTATAAGTTTAAGATTGAATGTATTATATTTCAGCAAATCTAGTTATTTGACGTTTTCTATAAATCTATATACAAAAATATTGTGTAAATATAGAGAGGGAATAAACGTATGGCACTTAAAGATTATAAAGATCAAATAACAAATTCATTGACTTTTGCTCTCTTTTCGATTTAAAATACAATAAACGTTCTTAATAGAAAAAAATATTATAATACCTGTATTTACAATATTTATTTTTATACACTATGTAAAATAGTTATAAGTACATTTGTTAGTTTGTTGTTCAATTATAGATCGATATTTTTTATAAGTTCTCTTAAAACAATCTTTTTAAAATCGTTACGAATTAAAAAAATTACAATATATTTGCACTTATAATTACTTCACTCAGTGTTTAATGATAATCCTAATAACAAGCTTTTTAAAAAAATTATAATAGCTTGTCAAACAATGTTAATAATTTCTTTAAATATTAGTTCAATAACAATGTAATCTATACTTTTAAATATTTATAAGTTTTAAACCTTTGTTGTTTTTCATTTAAATTTTAAAGTATTATTATTAATTACATTGAATTTATTATAATTTTATTTTGCAAAAAAATCTTCAAAGTCTTACGTTTGTAGCAAACATTTTTACTTTCGCATTATGGGTCTTTATTTTTTTTCCGAAAATATGTACCTGTAAAAATAAATAGTAAGTAACCTTTGAATTGTTTTAATAACAAAAACTTGCATTGTATAGATTTTTTATTAATTTATTTTACAATTTTACTATATTATAGTGACCATTTTTTATTATTTAAATTGTTTTGTTTTTTCGTTTAAATTAAAATGTCATTTACCTTAAATAAATCTTTAAGGTTTATTTTTTTTTGTTTTTAGCAAAAATAATCGTTGCAGCTTTTTGTTTAAATAATTTAAAATTTTCTTCTCTTTCATAGTCAAATTAAAGGCACTTTAATTTACAATTAGTTATTATTTTAATTATATAAAATTAAAATAAAAGTAAAAAATAAATTAATTATTTTGATGGAAAATAAAGTTTATAATAAGAGAAAATATGGGGGTAAATAAAATTAAATTTTTTTATTAAAAAATATTACTATTACTTGTGTATAACCTTCTATTTAGTTTAGTCTAGTCTATAGTCTAGTCTATAGTCTAGTCTATAGTCTAGTCTATAGTCTAGTCTATAGTCTAGTCTATAGTCTAGTCTATAGTCTAGTCTATAGTCTAGTCTATAGTCTAGTCTATAGTCTAGTCTATAGTGTAGTCTATAGTCTAGTCTATAGTCTAGTCTATAGTCTAGTCTATAGTCTAGTCTATAGTCTAGTCTATAGTCTAGTCTATAGTTAGTCTATAGTCTAGTCTATAGTCTAGTCTATAGTCTAGTCTATAGTCTAGTCTATAGTCTAGTCTATAGTCTAGTCTATAGTCTAGTCTATAGTCTAGTCTATAGTCTAGTCTATAGTCTAGTCTAGTCTAGTCTATAGTCTAGTCTAGTTAGTCTAGTCTATAGTCTAGTCTATAGTCTAGTCTATAGTCTAGTCTAGTCTATAGTCTAGTCTATAGTCTAGTCTATAGTCTAGTCTATAGTCTAGTCTATAGTCTAGTCTATAGTCTAGTCTATAGTCTAGTCTATAGTCTAGTCTATAGTCTAGTCTATAGTCTAGTCTATAGTCTAGTCTATAGTCTAGTCTATAGTCTAGTCTATAGTCTAGTCTATAGTCTAGTCTTAGTCTATAGTCTAGTCTATAGTCTAGTCTATAGTCTAGTCTATAGTCTAGTCTATAGTCTAGTCTATAGTCTAGTCTATATTATAGTCTAGTCTATTCTATAGTCTAGTCTATAGTCTAGTCTATAGTCTAGTCTATAGTCTAGTCTATAGTCTAGTCTATAGTCTAGTCTATAGTCTAGTCTATAGTCTAGTCTATAGTCTAGTCTATAGTCTAGTCTATAGTCTAGTCTATAGTCTAGTCTATAGTCTAGTCTATAGTCTAGTCTATAGTCTAGTCTATAGTCTAGTCTATAGTCTAGTCTATAGTCTAGTCTATAGTCTAGTCTATAGTAGTCTATAGTCTAGTCTAGTAGTCTATCTATAGTCTATAGTCTAGTCTATAGTCTAGTCTATAGTCTAGTATAGTCTAGTCTATAGTCTAGTCTATAGTCTAGTCTATAGTCTAGTCTATAGTCTAGTCTATAGTCTAGTCTATAGTCTAGTCTATAGTCTAGTCTATATATATCTAGTCCTATCTAGTCTATAGTCTAGTCTATAGTCTAGGCTATGTCTAGTCTTGTTAGTCTATATCTAGTCGATAGTCTAGTCTTATAGTCTTTCTATAGTCTAGCTAGTAGTCTAGTCTATAGTATAGTCTATAGTCTAGTTATAGTCTATAGCTATAGCAGTCTATAGTCTAGTCTATAGTCTCGTCTATAGTCAGTCATAGTCTAGTCTATAGTCTAGTCTATAGTCTAGTCTATAGTCTATCTGTTATTAGTCTAGCTATAGTCTAGTCTATAGTATGTCTATTAGTTGTCTATAGTCTAGTTATAGTCTAGTCTATAGTCTAGTCTAGAGTCTAGTCTATTAGTCTATGTCTATAGTCTAGTCTATAGTCTAGTCTATAGTCTAGTCTATAGTCTAGTCTATAGGTCTAGTCCCTCTATAGTCTAGTCTATAGTCTAGTCTATAGTCTAGTCAATAGTCTTGTTATAGTCTAGTCTATAGCCTAATTTATAGTATAGTCTATAGTCCTAGTCTACTGTTCAAGTCTGTAGTCATGGTCCTATAGTCTAATCTATAGTCTAGTCTCTAATTTAGTCTAGTCTATAGTATATTCCACATTCTAGTCTATAGTATATTTTATAGTCTAGTCTATAGTCATGTATATAGTCTAATCTATAGTCTAGTCTATAATTTAGACTATAGTCTATTGTATAGTATAATCTATAGTCTAATCTATATTCTTGTCTGTAGTCTAGTTTATAGTCTAGTCTATATTCTAATCTATAGTCTACTCTGTAGTCTAGTCTATAGCCTACTCTGTAGTCTATAGTCTAGTCTATAGTATTGTTTATAGTCTAGTCTATAGATTATTTTATTGTAGACTACTGTATAGTCCATAATCTAGTCATTAGTTCTGTAAGAGTTTAATCGATAGTTTAGTCTGTAGTCTATAACCAGGTTATGATCTAGTAGATGATCTCTTCTATGATCTGGTCTATGATCTAGTCTAGTCTATAATATTCTTAAGATCCTAGATGACAAACTTTATAAAAATTGACGTTTGAGTTTCGGAGAATTTCGAAAATGTGTAAAAATTGAGTTTTGAACTTAAAGAAATATTTTCAATTTTTAAGAATAGTTATTAGTTTAGAAATGTTAAAAAAGTTGTTTTAGAAATAATATAAGAAAATTATAACTAATAGATATTTATGAAAATTTATATTGTTCACTGTTAATAAAAGTGTCTTAAATGCACTCTACCATAAATTTTAATAAAATACACATGAACATATTCAAGTCACTTCTTATGGGATTTTTTTGTTGCCAATTCATGTTGTTTTCCATATTTAAAAATAACAAATAAATAAAACGCTAGACTTTTTATTCTATATATAAAACAAATTAATATTTGCAAAAAATAATGAAAACATAACATGATGAGTATATATTTAAAGGCACGTGTCAAAGAAAATGAAAGACACATTAATACACATCTTAAACAAAACAACCTTGACATGACATACTGGGAAATGGTGTAGTGATTGAGATTGTGATGACACAGAAGTAAGGAACACTTTCTTTACAAAAATATTTTATTATAATATTACTGTTGAGTAATACTACTTATTAGATAATAATGGATCATTTAAAATAATTGGACCTTATTATAATTATGAGTTGTTATTGTTGTTTGCTTGAAAGTTTAATTGTTATATTTTGTAAAAAATATAAACAATGTAAAAAACAAATTGGAATTATTATAATGGTTTTCACCAATGATTATAAAAGAGAATCAAGCGAGACTGTGTTTTTTCAGCTAAATCATATTTCAAAATTTTAAATAAATATGAAATAAATTTGTTTTTAATTAACATTTATGTTTGCATAAACAAAATAATTACTTCAATTAAAAAAATTACTTATTGATTTTAATTGCAAATACAATGACGACTTGTTCAATGGAGAAAAGTGCAAAAACTAGTGATTTTTTTATTTAAATGAAATGTGTGGACCAAACAACATGTTTTAAATTTATAATCTTCATTGTAATATTTATAAATGACAAACATTTTGAAAGAAACTCAAGCTCATTATACTGTAACAAAAAATGCATTAGATTTGTCATGAATTGTTCGATTTTTTTTGTAATATTTCTTTAAAATTATTAGATATTGTTGAAATGAAAAAACATAAATTATTTTGGGGAAAAAACAAATCTTTAAATTTAATAAAAGTAATAAGCAGCAAAGCAAATCTAAAAACCTTATAAAAAATGTGATCAAAAGAAAATAAAACAACAGAAAATATTTAGTTTTTTGTATGTTTTTGGTTTTTTTTTTTTAATAATATTTAAATAATTGACCCATATTTTCAATCAATTTAAAACGTATCAAAGTTTTATGAAACAAAAATGTGCATACAATTTTTTTTAAACCTTAGACACATTTCAAATTTGATGTAATAATAGGGCCTTTAAAATATATTTTTTTTAAACATTCTTATTCAAGATTTTTCTTACTTTTTCTAATAAATTAAACAAATTTTAAACTAAAAACTATACAGTGATATTTTTAAACGAAATTAAAAAAATATATAATATTTATAAATACAAAAATAAAACGAATATATATTTAAAAATATTACAATTTACAATATCAGTACCTTTTTCGTTTAGAAATCTTTTTTTTGTTTTAGCGTAATTTTTTACATAATATGCATGTATTTAATATATTTTATATACTAAAAAATATTGTTGTTTCTCTATATAAAATATGAATATAACCTCTTTTTTCTACTATACACAGATAATTATTACTCTTTTCAGGTTTGCTACTTAATTACTCATTTGCAGGCCACCACTACTGCGACTGCCGGTCGAAGAGGAGGTTTGTAAAATACCTAATTGTGACACAAGTTTGTCATAATCTTCCAATGAAGTCTCAAACTGTTCCAGCTGTTTAGAGAGATCATCTACAAATGAATAATCGGCAGCATTTGAGGCAGCCGAGCAGGATTGTGGATTTACCGCGTTTGTTTGGGTATTATTAGAGGAGGCGGAGGAGGAGATTGGTGCTACAATTGCCGTAGTCGTTGTTGCTGTTGTCGTACAGATTTCAGCTTGCAATTCGGAAAAGCCTTTTAGGGGTGGGGCATGATAACAATCACGATAAAATTTCGCCAAATCGTTGACATGTGAGGTTGGCGAGGCAAAAGGGAAATTGAGTTCTTTCAGGAGATTCTCATCGTCCGCCGAATGATTGTTGACTTGCGACAAGGGCAAATTGTTTGTAGAGGCATGTGGCGGCGGTCTTGTGTTAGCAGGTGGCTGTGGAACAAACAGACTCTTAACGGGTGATTGTGAATGAGTAGAGTTGTTAGGTGACTTTTGTTGTTGCTGCTGCAACAGTTGCTGTTGTAAATTTTCATCGTTCTCCAAACTTTTAAACGCTGCTGAATTGTTGTTTGTGGTGGTATTTGCATTATTACTGTTGGTTGAATTATTGTTCAGTGCATTGTTAATGTTGATATTATTCTGATGTCCATTGCCCAAGGGGGATGTTTGCGGTGAATCACATTTACGATTTAAGGATTCTATTGAACCAGTACCCGCACTACCAGCACTTTCATGTCTTGGTTTTCTTAAAAGCCATTCAAATGGTGGTGTTTCGGGTAAAACGAAATCATCTTCTGTATATTGACGCAATTTGCCGATGTCAGTAAATGCTCCTGGGCGTAAAGGCTTCTCAATATCGATGATTTTCTTTTCACCCCCTAGACCAGCAGACTTTTTGCCATTCAAACCGCCCGCATTTTGTTTGCCAGCCGTTTCGGTATGTTTGAAATGATTCGAATCAATCATAATGGTATTTGTTTCTCGTGTCCTCGTCTGGCCAGCAGTGGTTGTGGGCGTTATAGTCATTTTTGTGCGATAGGCAACCGACATAACTAGATTACCCACAATAGTATTCAAATGACCAATGCGAACATTTTTGTGACCTTCACCCAAAGTATGAATCTGAGGACGTTCTACATAGATGCGGTAGTAAATACTGTAAGAATCAGGACACTGACGTCGGGATAGCTTGTAAGCGGGTGTGGCACGTGTCAAAGAAATCAATGATTTCAATAGCATACCCATGCGATTGTAAATAGCATGAGCAGTCTTTAAGCAGGGTTGTTCAGTGGCTGTAGAATTCAGGTTTTGATTTTGGGCCTTATCGTTGGCTTCCTTAGTTTTATTTGAGGCTGATGGTTGCAACTCCAATGACCACACCTCCAAAATCATTTGATCGCCTTCTACTGTTTTCAATGAAATCTCCACGCACAAGGGTAAACGCTTTAAAATTGATTCTCCTGGAGCCAGAGCTAAAGCCTTTTTTGTTTCAGCATAAACATCTGGATGGTCTTCGACGACTAAATTAAACCAATCATTGCCCGCCAAAGGATTACACTTCGTTTGAATCTTCTCGCCCAAACGGGACTGCACCACTACTTGGGTGGATTTTAGGGCTAGAAATTTAATAAATTTCTCCAAATCTTTTTCAGCTGCATTAATGCGTTGTGTCGACATTTTGTATTTTTTCACTTTATTCACTTCTTTCTCTTTTTATTATGTATTTTCCTTTTATGTTTTTCTTTGTTTAGCTTTTGTTTTGGAAATTCTTAGAATTTTAGTTTTGTCTTGTTTTGTTTTAAAAATAATTTATTTTTTCTGGCATATAGTATATTTTTTATTAAATTTAAAATATCACTAATTAATTAATTATTTTCTGTACTTCCGCATTTTTGTAAATTTTTCGTTTTGTCAAAAACCAGAATTTGCTTTTTCAATTTTTCATCAAACTTGCACTGTCTTTTTTTCACGATTTTGCTTTTGTAATTGCAATTAAATTGGCATGTATTTTTTTCTTCATATAGTTTTTTTACACACCCTTTTTTAGTTTTGTTTTCTTTTAAACCAAGTTTATTTCTGTTTTAGCACTATTGAAAATATAAATCTTCTATTTATTTAGTTTTTATATCCACGTAAATATTTGTTGGCAATATAAATTATTTTATTTTCTAATATTTTTATCGCGTAGAAACAAAGGAATTTTCGTTATATCTCTTCATTTATTCAGTGACTTTTCGTATTTCTAGTTGCCTTATCCGTTTTGGACTGAAATCACACGCTCAGAGAAAAAATAACTTTGCTGATTTCGTTTTGTGTTTTGTACACAGAGTTGTATTTTATGTGTGAACAGAGTGTACTAAAACATTTGGTACGATTCTGACGTCACGTACGCATGTTTTAGTACGAAAATATTGCCAGATTTAATTTATAAATATATATTTATCCTAATACTCGGGGAAATAGATTATTCATATTAAATTTTAATATTTATTTTTAATAGTAATAATAAAAAAACAAGAAATTGTATCAATGATTTTTTTAAATTTTTATCTATATATATAAAAATGAAAGTGTGTTTGTATGTATGTATGTATGTATGTATGTATGTATGTATGTATGTATGTATGTATGTATGTATGTATGTATGTATGTATGTATGTATGTATGTATGTATGTATGTATGTATGTATGTATGTATGTATGTATGTATGTATGTATGTATGTATGTATGTATGTATGTATGTATGTATGTATGTATGTATGTATGTATGTATGTATGTATGTATGTATGTATGTATGTATGTATGTATGTATGTATGTATGTATGTATGTATGTATGTATGTATGTATGTATGTATGTATGTATGTATGTATGTATGTATGTATGTATGTATGTATGTATGTATGTATGTATGTATGTATGTATGTATGTATGTATGTAGTATGTATGTATGTATGTATGTATGTATGTATGTATGTATGTATGTATGTATGTATGTATGTATGTATGTATGTATGTATGTATGTATGTATGTATGTATGTATGTATGTATGTATGTATGTATGTATGTATGTATGTATGTATGTATGTATGTATGTATGTATGTATGTATGTATGTATGTATGTATGTATGTATGTATGTATGTATGTATGTATGTATGTATGTATGTATGTATGTATGTATGTATGTATGTATGTATGTATGTATGTATATGCTTTATAGACTGCTAAACGGCTGGACCGATTTTCCTGAAATTTTCACAGTTTCTTCCTGTATGTCTGGAAAGAACTATAGGCTACTTTTTATGTTTAAATTTCATGTGGGCGACGTGCCACGCCCATATTAAGAAAATGTTAAATTAGTATATCTGAGATAATATAATAGTTAGAGTCTTCAAATTTTGTCGGAGCAACTTTAGTATCAATATAATTATTTAAGACAAAAGGTGGGCGGATTAGCATTAGGTGGCGTGGCACCTCCCATATAAATTAAATACAAAAATTCGTTTATCTTGGAAACTATTATAGTTAGAATATTAAAAATTTGCACGAGTAACTTTAACATCCATGTAAACATTTTGGGAAATAAATGGGACTACCCATGAGGGGAGCAGCACCTCCCATATTAATAAAATACAAAAATTGGTTTATCAGGGAAACTAATAGAACTAAATTCTTAAAATTTTGCACGAAGAACTTTAATATTCATCTGACTTTCATCTGGGGGGCTTGGAGCTCCCATATGAATTAAATAGAAAAAATCGTATATCTGAGAAACTATTAGAGGTAGAATCTTCAAATTTTACTGAAGAACATTTAGAGAATAACGGGCGGACTTTCAATGGGGGGCTTGGCACTTCCCATATGAATTAAATACACAATTTTGTATATCTGGGAAGCTATTAGATTATTCAAATTTTTCATAGATTAAATTAAAATCTTTATTAACGTTCGGAATAATTGGCGAAATTGCAATAATTTGCGTGGAATCTCCCATATGTAACAAATTGTATATCTGGAAAACCATTGTAGTTAGAATCATCAAAATCGTTAAGTGGGTTTCTTATTTATATTGCTTTTAGGGTAGCACAGCACACTGGGTATATATATAAATAAACAAATAAAAAATCTTTGTTTTTACGTTATTGATCATTTTCTTAAGGCAAAATTTCTGCAATGTTTTTTATGGAGGATAGGGTTAAATATCGGTAGATCCTAGTAAAACTTGAAGAAAGGATTTGTTTTTAATTTTTAAGAATTTTTTATTCATCCCTGCATAATTTCTCACACAACCTATGAGCTTGCTCTGTTTTGTTGTTATAAACAATATATTTGCTTCCAAAATCCCACTTTCTGATCTCTCGGATTCCGTTTTTATTTAAAATCGTAGAAAAATTAAAAACTAAACGTAGTTGAAAACTTTGCGGCTTACAGTCGATTTTAAGCCGCCGCCGACATATTTAATGTTAATATTTGTCGCCGCAGGGCTCTGGGGACAGACCATTATTCAGAACACTTGAGTGCCGGTATTTATACCAAAATGTATTCTTTTAATTTTAACCTAATTCCGTCCTCCCTGGTTCTTTTAAAAAGTATTTTTTACCTCAAAATGACGTTCTGTTGTTCAAGTGTTAGTAAAAGTATCGGCATACAATTTGAAGATGCCGCCAAAGTTTTGAGTGTCAGTCGCCGTCGTCGTTAATGTTTGTCAGCACAGATCTCTACGGCTGTGTTTTCATAAATCTTATTTTGTTTAGTGTAGTGCACGTGTGTAAAAGATTATTAACTTTTTGAAGTATTATTCAGATTTTGAAAATAAATTATAAAAATGCCACCAGTAAAGAAACAAAAACCAAATAAATCTCCCAAGACTAGTGGAAAAGATAAGAAGCAGGCTAAAAATGCTGGTGAATCTGTTGTATCGGGACAGGTAAGGAATCCTATAACTGTAAATATAACAAAAACGTGTTAAAATGTCTGCAATTCGAAAAATATTTTTACAGTTACAAAAGAAAATCAATAAAATTCAACCCAAGAAAGATCCCAAAGGTGTTGTCTTTATCAAACATTTGCCACACGGTTTCTTTGAGGAGCAGCTGAAAAAATATTTCGAACAATTCGGAAATGTAACCCGTGTACGATTGGCTCGCTCTAGACGCACTGGCAACAGTAAGGGCTATGCCTTTGTCGAATTTGAGTACCCCGAAGTGGCTGAAGTTGCTGCCGAAACTATGGATAATTATCTGATGTTTAAAAAAATTGTCAAGGCTACGTACATACCACCAGAAAAGCAACAATTCAATTATTTCCGTACCTCTTTAAAGAAAATCAAGAATAAATCAGGAAAGTACGTATGGGTATCGTCTAAAACTGCAGCTATTCAACAAAAAATGAAGAATCACAATGATTGGTCCGAAGAAAACTATCAGAAGCGCACACAAAAACAATTAGCAAAACTTAAAAAGATTGGTAAAAAATATGCTCATCTTGGTATTGATATCAATGAAATTATAGCAAAACCCAAGATCTTGACTGATGGAGAGAAAAAGGCAAAAGGCAAGGCAGCCAAAGAAGAAGAAAAAACTGCAAGCAGCTCAAAAGCTACGAAAAGGAAAACCACAAGTGATGATGCTTCCTCCAATAAACAACAGAAGCCAAAGAAAAAGGTGGCGCTAGAAGACCTTTTGGGAAATACTATACAAGAAGATTCCGATGATGAAGACTACATAGCTATGGCTGAAGACAGTGAAGCTGAGGATGCTGAAGTTGATGAGGATTCTTCAGATGAAGAAACTTATGGCTTCACTAAAGGTTCAGATAACGAAGAAGATGAAGATAGCGAAAATGAAAGCGCCGAAGAAGAACCAGTCCCATCTATTGCCAAAAAATCCAAAAAGAATTTTGGCAAATCATTAAAATCTTCAAACGTTGAACGTTTCGATCAAATGTTAAAGCGTAAACCACACACGGGCGGCATCAGCAAATTCAATAAGAAATCCTTAAAACAGCCTTCAGGAGTTTCGAAAAATAAGACTGCTTTACAGATGAGTGCAGCCAAAGAAGTGGCTAAGCCACTTTCAAAAGTAAAAGGCGGCAAATTGGCTAAACCCTTAAAGTCTAATAAAAATCTGAAGAAAGTAAAATAATTGAATAGTTTTGTAGGTATTACAAACATTCGCCAACTTATATTAATTAATAAAATTAGTATGTATATGAGAAATATGTTTTTCGTTTGTTTATATAAGTTTCTTTTTTTTAATATTTGTATGTATATAATTTTAATAAAATTTGCAAATATTCTATTTGATTGTGTTACAAATGGAAATTATAAAAAAAATTAAATATGTGTTAAGTTTAAGGACATCTAGACAATTATCTCTGCTTGAAGATTTTTAAAAAGCAGCAATACACATTTTTTTAATGAAGGCTAGTTAAGTCCTACTATATGATCTATCAATGCATCGATACATGTTTATAAATATGTTACATGATGCTTTGGCCAATTAAAAACTTTGACGACAACGAATAAATAAATGGTTTTTTTCTCAATTTTTAACAAATTTTTCGAATTCAATTGGAAATGCCGGGCAACTAATGTAAAGGTTCGATATCAGCTAAAAATTATTTGGCCTGTAGGAATCACAAAACTAATTTTATACTAAAATTGATTGCTTATCGTCAATGAGTAAACTTACACGACCCATGTTCCCATGGATTTATGTTTCTATCCAATTTATGTATTTAATTGACTTACCATTTTTATAAATTAAACGCGGAAAATTAAATTTGTTTCCGAATTTTCACTTTTTTCACAAATTTTACAGCACAAACCAAAATATACACTACTTCACTTTCGCCAAAAAAACTTCTACTGAAAAGGCGCCAATTTCTGTGGAATTCGATTGGTTTTTTTATTACATAGGTATTGTCAAAAAAACTTCTCTTGTAAAACGGTTGTCTGCTGTCATTCTAAGATTTTATAGTTGAAACAAACAGTAGACCTTTAGCAATGTTTTCGGGTTTTTTAAACTCTTTTTGACTTCTTTATGTTAAAAATATAAAGTAAGAAAAACGTTTATTTTTAAAATAGTTGCAATAAAAAACAAAGGCTTATTAAATAACTATTCTTTTGATTTTATACTGATTTTATTAGCAGGTTAGGCAATAAAAAAAGTCTTTCTATGAATAGACTATTTGTGGAGAAAAGTCGAAGTCGATCGACTTATTTTGTCATAAGTCGACTTTTTATATAAAAGTCAAAAAAGTTGAATGAAATAGAACGAAAGTCGAAAGATGCATTTTATATTTGTAAAGAAGTGCTAATTTTGACACATCTGCTCAGCATGGGGATGTAGCTCAGATGGTAGAGCGCTCGCTTAGCATGTGAGAGGTACGGGGATCGATGCCCCGCATCTCCAATGTTCTTTTTATTTTTTTTTAATTTAATTTTAAAAAAATTAATTGTAAATATCTTATTAGGGCACTGGCACACGTTCAATATATATTGATCAATATGGATCAAGACCCATTTTAATATACTGATGAATAACTCGGGTATGCTACACGTTCAATATTTTTTTCTTCAGTATTTGCTATATTTTATGGTATACGAGTCGGCGGATGATTAAACGAATACCGCAAAAATACCGAAATAACAAAAATTTTGAAAAAAGTAATTTTCTTTTATATTTTTTTAACAATTTTTAAAACAATATTTCATTTTTATTTGCTTTATTTTATTTTTTTCCAAATTTTAAAAATGTATCGTGATTGATATCACAAAACATGCTACACATTCAATATTAATCACGTGATTCATTAATATTGATACGAATTTTGGATTTCAGAAAATTGGGGTTTTCTGTGATATGGAACACGATCCATCAATATTACATGCTACACGTTCAATACATATAACAATATCACGATATATATTGAACGTGTGACACTGCCCTTACATATAATTAAATAGAACTATAAATGTTATTGTTAATATTAATCATAAATGTATTAAGTTTAAATATTAAATAAAAAAAAATATGTTTCTACAGGTTTCTAAGCTTCATTATACCCAAAAGGTCAAGTTTCTAGAAACTTTCGTCACGAGATAAAAAAAACAAAATTTTGATTAAATTATAGGTCTTAGGTTTATTCTGAGTCCATTTTTGGACTCAGAGTTTGTTTTATCCTTGGGGTTTTATCGTAAACAAGAAAAATAATGATGGGAAATTAAATTTTGTGGGATATTTGGCTCAAATATATTTTTTTAGAAATTTTAATGAATTATTGGACCTACCCTCAATTCTGAAACCATTTTCGGATTCAACATAGATTTAAGTCTTACTTGACAAATTTCAGTTTCCCTCGGCCTTAAGAACCCGAAGTAGTAGTACAAATTGTTCAAAATAAAAAAAAATTAAGAAATTTGGATGAAACAATGGACCAAGGTCCACTTTCGTGGGATATTTGGCTCAAATATTTTTTTTAGAAATTTTAATGAATTATTGGACCTACCCTCAATTCTGAAACCATTTTCGGGTTCAACATAGATTTAAGTCTTAATTGACAAATTTCAGTTTCCCTCGGCCTTAAGAACCCGAAGTAATAGTACAAATTGTTCAAAATAAAAAAATCAGAAATTTGGATCAAAAAATGGACCAAGGTCCATTTTCGGACTCTGCGTGAAGAGTTTCCAGCCAGATTCGGCCTGTAGTTTTCGAGATTAAAAAAGCAAACATAAAAATAAATGTATAAATTTTGTTGTAATGTGGGTGCTAGTTCCAACATTCATCAAAATTGTTATTTTTTAATTTTTGCTTATAACTCGTTAAATAAAAATGTTCAGTTGCTCTCGGCCTCAAGATCCTGAAATAACAGCATAAATTGTTTAAAGTAAACAAATTTTGGAAATTTTGATGAAACAATGGACCTAGGTCCATTTTCGCATTCAGCGTGGGAATTTACAAGAATGCTGAGTTTCCAGACAGAATAGATATTCCTACGAAACTTAATTTTCCCCGTCATTTTAAAAAACGAAACTTTCGTTAACGTAAAAAATTGTATGAAGAATACATACTGGGAAATTTTTGAAAATTTGAATTTTTTCCATACAAATTTTTTTTGAACGTTTGTCGTTTCGTTTTAAAAAATGAAACCTTTCATCTCATAATTTTCGGAAATTTCCTCTACATTTAAGGGTTCTTGTATTGCCTATTACAAATTATTTGCTAGCTTTAAAGAACCAATAACTAAAAATAGTAAGAAAAAATTAAATTTTTCTTAAAAAAATAATTTTATAATACATATTTAAATTTTATGTTATAAAGGAATTTCTATGACTGATTCCTTAGGCAAACCACGCAGACGCAATGGCTCGGGCAGTGTGGGCTCTATAAGCACCATGGTCCCTAGTGCTTCCAATGCATACACTGTAGAATCTGTTACACGCTCACCTTTAAGAAAAAATCAGCAGAAAAATTTTGGGTATACAAAATCCCGCCTACTCGGGGTCTACAGGTAACTCACAAACGGGGAATATTACCCCCTCATTTTATAAAACGAAACTTTCGTTAACGTAATAAACACTGAACATCGTAATAAATTTGTATGAATTCCATAATTTTTTTTAACGTTTGGGTCTCCCTTAGGAGACCCTTAGGGTCTCATTTTATAAAACGAAACGAAAAACGTTCAAAAAATGTTTATTGAAAAAATTCAAAATTTCAAAAATATCCCAAGTTTCGTTTTGTAAAATGAGACCCTAAATAAAACTATGTACAAGTAAAAATGTTTTAAAAATTTCGGGAGAATATAATAAACACTTTATAAAAATATTTATCTGTGTAAAAAGTATGCATGTCATTCACATTAGGTCCAAAAGACAAAGACACACGACATGCAGTCAGTCCCCCTTAAAAAAATATTTACACTTGCTTTAGAAAAAGAAAAACATTAAAATGAATAAAGAAAATGATCCATATGTGTATAAAACAAATAACGTCTAATAGAAAAATCTTTGTTTTTACTATTAAGACATAGTAAATATGTACATTAGCATGTATGTATGTAAAATGATGAATGAATAATTAATATGCGGCAAATGATTTATTTGATCGTTGGAACCACGATTGAAAAGCTAAACTAAATGGCGCATTAAAACTTTTCCTTTAAATAACGGCAAACTTTAAAAAAAACAAGAGAAAGCAAAACAAGTACAAAAACATAGAAATAGTAAGTACATGTCAAATAGGAAGTAAGTAATTAAAAGAGAACCATTAAAGCACACATGGCATAGTTATGCTCTAAGAGTAATGAAGACTAGGAATAACCAGAACTATTATTGCATGTAGTATGTGTGTAAGTATTTACGTGCGTTTGGTGTGTTTTATATAAATTTTAAAAATACTTCCGTAATAATAATCATATTTCACAAAATAAACAAACCATATTCATAAGAGGCCAAAATCGACCACACAATTGTCAAAACAATTATTGCATTCATAATACATACATATTCTTAAAAAATTACAACTTATTTATGACAGTTTATTTGTTTATTGTCTTTTCTAGCCTGCTTTTAGTTATTTTTCTTTATATAGTCAGTTTACCATATGTGGGTATATAAGTATGTATGCATGCTTAATGAAAATATCACATTAACCAATCAAAACACTTGCTCCCTTTTACTTTCTAACCAATCGGAGCGAGGCCCCCACATAACTGTAAAACTCATTTGTAAAATGAAATTAAGTTGACATCATAACGAGATGAACACAAAACACAATGTTTAGTTTGTATTCAAATTTAAACGTAATTAGTTCAAAAGTCATGCAAACTAATTTGGAAGAATTTTTCTTTTGTGATAATTCGGAACACTCATCATATCCTTTTAACAGTAATCATAATATCACGCCAATAAATGATACTTCATATCGTAATACTATACAATCTTATTATATAGAGCAATTTAATCAAAGTTATTCAACTAATATCAATAGTATGTGTGTTAGTTCGTCTACGGAACGGTTAGTGATCGATGATAATCGTAACAATTATAATAATTCGTATAATCAAAGTTTTCAAAACTATAATAACAATTGTTCAAATTACGATTACAATTGGAATTCGTATCATCAGTGTGAGGAAAATATTGAAGATGAAAAGCAATTATTAGAAAATAAAATAAAAGACTGCAGCAACAGTATAAAATTGGTGAAAGAAATTAAAAAAGGTTTGTAAAATATTCTTAATTCATGAGGAAAACGGTTAAATTTACATAGAGAAATCAAAACACGTTTAAACTGAAAATCGAGAAATTTATTTCTTCATAGTTTCTTTAAAAATCTTTGATAGCCGGAGGTTGAGATAACAGGCCTAAATCATATTCAACTATAACTCTAATAGTATAATGTTATTTTTAGATACTGCCAAAACACCTTGCTCAGTGACAAATAGTATTCCAAATTCAACATCAACTGTCTCATCGTCTCGCAAAGAACGCACAGCATTTACGAAGGAGCAAATTAAAGCATTGGAAAATGAATTTTTACACGCAAATTATTTAACCCGTTTAAGAAGATACGAAATCGCAGTGGCATTGGATTTAACAGAAAGACAGGTGAAATATTTAAAGCAAAACAAGATTCGCAATTTATTTAACTTTTTTTTTCGACAGGTTAAAGTTTGGTTTCAAAATAGACGCATGAAATGGAAAAGATTAAAAATGGAAAAACAACTGTAAAATTAATGTAGTAAAAATTGTTTATCTTCATTTTATTTTTGTGCACAAATTGTTTATTAAATAAATATTCTTTGTATACATTTCATTTTAGTTATAAAGAAATCGTAATATATAAAAATCATAAAATCTCAAAATATCTTTTTACTCCTTGATCCGGCTCACCAAATATTGACTTCAGGACAAAAAATTATATCTTAGAATG